GTACTTGGGCCCGCATAAAAACAGTGATAGTCGGGGTTGAATTACATATGAAGATCTCGCCTTTACCGATTAAATCGTACAAGATAATAGAAATTATTCATTATCAACCAGTTACATCGAAATATCCACACACTGACCGTAAAAATTAGTTAGTATAATAAAAATACCCAGTTCGACAGCTGTAAGGGTCGATTTATTTACATATTTGAACTGCAGTGCAACAAAATTATTTTAAAAAGGCAATATCTTACTTAAGGACGTAGTTAACACGAAATCTAAGTGGGCAAATTTAAAATATCGGAATATGAACATTATCTCTCTCTGGTCCGTGAATAAATTGTTTATGACGTAAAATCTATGGATTCAGAAGATCGTACTGACATTGCACATACATATAAAGAAATGATGGACAATATATTTTAATAATTTGAATGAAAAAATAATCTTCGTTTGGAAACGACGGCATATTAAAAACATCTGGATTGAGCTAATTGATACATCTTTACATTGTTACATTTTTTTTATTCAATTAAATTGAGAAGCAGTTAATAAGCACGATCCATCTAAGAATAGTCAAAAGAACGTTTGACTTTATTCAATATGCAGAGGAACGAGAAATACATTTTTGGCTGTATAAATAACAATCTCATAACCCGAATTTCGAAAAAATCTCAGTTATGCGGATTAGTGATAATTGCACTTTATTTGCCACCAGTCATAGATAGTCACTTTAGTCACTTCGACAGTTGCATTTTAATCCACATTTTTTAATTAACGATAAAAAAACTTATCGGTTTCATTATTTACATGCCGTGCAAAATTAACGTTGCACAAATTTTTCATCACGTCGAGTAAAAACGAGGTACGCCCCTGGAATGTACGATTTACTCACGGACTTTAGAAAGCAAAGCAAAAAAACGCTCGCGGGAATATTTAAGGTTTTTAAATATGTATAATTAAAAAATAAGTACTTTTTTACTAAGACATATCTATTTTTGTACCTTTATCCAACTATTACTCTAAGGGCCACATTATTAAAGTAAGTTTAACTTGCAGTTAACTAACTATAATCTTAGAATGTGATTTGTTGCAATTAAAACGTACCGACACAAAGACATTCAAATCTTCCAGTTAGTTAACTGTAAGATAAACTTGCTTTTGAATTTAAGGTCAGTACCAATTAGCCCTTATTATGCAACACAAAGAGGTAAATTTTTAGAAACAATCACGCTGGCTTGAATATTTTGCAAAAAGTAATGTTGACCTCAAAGTGACTTTGAGGTCATTTTGACCCATGACAAAAGAAGTAAAATTTTCCGCTCCTTTTCAATTTCGGGGTCAAAAATACAGGTCCCTATTTGAACATTTGAAGTTGACCTTGACCAGTGACCTCAAGGTCAAATTAAGGTCAATAACAGTTTTCTCCATGAAACCCAACAACTTATATAGAGGTCATTTTTCGCTAAAACCTAAACTGTTAAGATCAGCGTGGGACTAGACTAGAAACCTGACTCTTTACCGTTTTGAATGGATTAAATCCAGGAATCACCCTTCAGTTCCCCTTTAGGGAAAAAAGCACACAATTCCGTTAAATCCGGCAATCAATTAGTCCGGCCAAAACAATTCGTTCCCAAACCAGAGGCGTAATTAAACACGGACATCTCCAATGATGGCCGGCAAATTTGGACGGGCAGCCGGATCCCTTTGATTGTCCCACTTCTGGGGAGGGTATTTTAATAAACAAGTGAGCGATGTTGTCACGTCGTACGGGCGGGGGTGTTGGTAGTGAATAATGGTGAATGGGGGGAAAAGGGAACCGACAAAAGATAATCACAGCTAAATTGATTGTACACGGCGGACCCGCATAATGTTCGAATAAGGCACTTATGCTGTAGCGAAGTAACACGGGGGGTGTTGGGAATATGTAACTACCCAAATGACACACTAATGCAAATAGAGGGTATATAAAATTTATTAGACATCTAAATGTCCGACAGGAAAGTATATTTTAATTGTGAATTATTTGTAGGTGTAATTTTCATAATGGATCTGTTTAATTAAAAAAAAAAAAAATTCTATCATGGTTGTCCCAAAAAGACACGGTAACTTCAGAGTTGAGGCCTAGCAAAAAAGTTTCAGATAAAAGTCGTAAGAGTATCGAGAAACCAATATGCTGGTAACCTTGAAGTTGATCTTGAACTTAAGTCTCAAGGTCAAACCAAGGTCAACTTGAGACCAGAAAGTTTTCAGAAACGTCCCCCAGATCATTTGTGGGTCAAAACATTTTTTTTCTCTGAATAGCTTGACAACAATATTTCAATCAATTTTTTTTTGGACTTTGAATGACAAATTAGGTGACCTTGGACTTCACCCAACAGCTGATTAGGTATGTCTTTAGAATCTTCTTATCATCAAATTTTAATTGTTAGTCTAACGATGTGTTAATAGTTTTATTCTATTATTTTTATATTCCTGCATTATTTTTTGTGGAAAATAAGTTTGTCCTTCAAGCAACCTGCAATGACATTCTACAAAATAATTTTGACCCCAGTTTCCGACAGAAAATTTGGCGTCGCATTGGCTGCTGGCATAAAAAATACCGTACTCCATTTTTTATTAAGTTGTCCTTAATTTCACCTTGCGACTTGTGATGAAGGTCAAACCCAAGGTCACCATTTAATTTATCGCTAAAAATCCTAAAAATTTAACTTGGAACACGTTTGTCAAGTTACTCAGAGAAAAATATAAGTTTGTCCTCCAATTGACCCGCAAGTGCATGCAGCAAAAAATTTGTAGCCCCATATTCGGAAAAATTTTGGCGCCCTATCGATTGTCGGTAATATTTCCAAGTCGACTATGTTTTGACCTTGAAACTCAAGATCAAAGTCAAACCCAAGATTACCAGCAAAATAATTTCCTGACATCCTACACCTTTTGTATGAATTTTTATAGTATTTCTGAGTAGTTTTCGGGGGATTCGGATGTTTTTGGGTCACTGTATAATTGAACGATAATTTATTCTTGAAATATGCACATAATATTTATGTAACTGTAAATGGTTTCATTTACAGTTACTTATTGCTGCATAGCAATGTATGTTAGATATATAAAAATATTCAGCAAATAATATGTATTTATGGGACTTTTGTAATCGTTTTTCTAATACTGTTGAATTTGAAGCTGTAAGTTATTAAAACACGTATATTCTATTACTAGCTCTGTATTTTTTACTCTATTTTAAAGGTGTTAAGTTAAAATGCTGAATAAGACTATTGTGGGTTAGTCTAAACAAACATTAGATGTATTTTTATAACGTTTATACTTTAGATGATCTAAAAATAATCAAGTTTCTCTCAGGTTCGGTTTTAGACAGTATTAGATGTCTAATAAAAGTGATTTAACTTAACGCTTGTTTTTTTTTACTGTCCAGGCCTCTACTTTATCTGATAGTGGGGATACCACCAGAAAACTGTAACCATCCATCATCATTTGGGTGAGTATCTACAAAAGTAGGTTAATGTATATACTAAATTTCGAGCAAAAAATTTCCCATTGTTTCCATGCAGATTTAAAAGTCTGAAAAGATCTTTGCTAAGTAATACTGCAACGCACAAGTCACGTGCACAAGATGCACAGGGTAGGCTTACATTTATGGTTAATTTTCTTAATTAATTTTCTCGAAAACAGAAGCATTCAGTCTACCACCCTTTTTAAGGGGATTTCAGAAACACCATCTATGTTCTATATCAGCTCAATTTTCTAAATATTTTTGATATAGGAGAAAATGACATTACAGTAAGCTAAAATTAAATTTTTGGTAGATATAATGGTGAGGTAGATATATATCGAATCACATACATATAGAAAATCATTTTTATTTGTCAACAAAATTAGATATTCAGTGATTGTCCAAAACTTATCAGAACATCACAACTGTTCTTTGTTATAACCACACAACACAATTGAAGGAAATGAAGGAAATTGTACTTACTACAAGTCCCAAGGAAACATAAACTGAAACCTGCCCTTCCCACATCCTAATAAATACGAATTTTATTAACGGATACACATACATACAGAAGCGTTTAAAGAGGCATATATTAATTTAACTGTCTGCACGAACGTCAGTCTGGAATCCACAGTAACAATTAACAGTTCCCATTCACTCTTTTCGGTTACGATCCAATTTTATACCGAGCCATGTCGTTTTCGTGTACCAGCAGGACGTGACGATAATGACAATCCATCAAAAAATATTTCAAGCACTCTATACCGGAGAAATACGCATTATTTATGCATGCGGGTATTCATAACGCACGGAAAGGAATGGGGACGATTGCAAAATCGGTGGATGTACTTGTCGAGAAATCAACTGGGCTGCATGTGCCAAAAAAACGAAAATGTACGGTTCTCTAGTGCTTCAAAAGTTTCTAATGTCTGTCTCGGAAGAGAAAAAATCTATTCTATTATTATTCTGCGTCAAAACTCAACTGTCAATTGGTACTAAGCCAAGTTGATATGAAATTGTCTGGATGCTATCTTTGGTAATGCTAGGAAGTCAAAACGATGGACATGAAGTTTATAGGAGCCACGAGAAAATTGATAAATGGGCCCAAAAATGGTGACAAGAAACGTCTGGACAATAGCAAGATTGGTTCTTGAAAGAACTATCAAAAGAACTGGTTTAGAACCTAATGATTGGTCATAGGTCAATAAGACACCAAGAGACATTGGCATGCTAGAAGACAGCTTGAATAGGTTCTATCAGAATGAAGAGCAGTGTTGTACAAGTATGCAGGCTTAACGAAAAGGAAAAATAAAAGTTAAGTGAAGGGTTACTGTCAACAGAACTGTTGAACCTTGATGAAGAACTCTTAAAATCATGAAGGTCCACAATACAGCTACGGTTGGTCGCAATGGAAAAGAATTTAAACACCTTTAAAACAAAGTAAAGACAGAAGAGCTGTGAATTAACACATAATTAAATAAAAATCGCTTACCTCCTCTGAAACCTCCTTAACATCTCCGTTCTTGTCTGATTCCTTGTTGGGTTTTGTCTTGTCCTTTTTCGAGAACGATATGCTCCTGAACGACCACTTTTTCTTTTTCGTTTTCTCTTTGTTCTTTTTCGATTCTGGCGTTTCTTCTACTTTGTTGTCTCCGGTCTCTGGTGCCTTCTCTGTCGTAGGGGTTTCGTTCGATGGGGCTGCGGTAACTTCTGTGTCCGGCGTCTTCGTCTCTTCTACTTCTGGTACCCCGTTCTCCTTCACGTCCTCGTCCTGTTTCTCCTTTTCCGCCTCGACTGCCTCCCCCGCATTTTCTTCTTTATCCTGCGAAAGGACGGAGCTATTATACTGATCAAGAAACCGAAGATAAGGAACGACAGATTTGGGTACAGTCCCAATGAGAACCAGGACATTCCTCCAATTTTTTTCCCTTATCATTTTTGTCTTTGTAACCAAAGTTTTAGGAAATATTTTTATAACCTCAACGAAATATACGCATAAAAAAACAACTGATTGTTGCATTCCTTTACCCTGCAAATAGCTTATTATTATTTCGGGAAAACATACAGTTTTGAATTCCACTCTTTTCTGATTACAATGATTGATGCATATACATACTTTTACTTTGATAGTTTGTGAAACATTTCGGTTTGTTTGCTGATCTTGCGCATAGTCAAGCTTGCTATGAAACCACCGCCACCGTGTTTACTAAACAAATCTTTAAATTGTCGAGGAAATATCTTATTGCAAAAGTTGTTATAAATCATTTTGTTCCAATCAAAATATATACATTCCATGCCCTTTAATTACTTTATCTTTCAGAATTGTAGATCAAATGAAAAACTTCGTGCTATAGAGAATGTTTTTTTAAAATATTGCCATCGTAATACTTCCTTTTTGTCCACAGAAAGAACTACTGATCATTTTAATAAAAGATAAATGTTTCTTCCTATTCAATGCCTCTTAGATTTAAAAAAAAACGAATTGTGAGTCCCAAAAATCTTTTAAGGGGATGTCCTTGTTCTCAGTGGGTTTAGACTGTGACAATAACAAAATGGCGTCACAAATTTCACGTTCTGGGTCATTTCATGAGAATATTTAGGGCATAGAGAGGGTAAAAATGTCTTCTACGTGACGCACTTTTAGTGATTAACCTTAAAAGATAAACGCAATACACATAAACAACGCAACTAAACAGGTACTTTTATTTCGCTGTAAGTGTCTCTCTCATAAAATGTAGTCACGACTTGAATATATGCGCTGTGATATTTACAAAAATTAAAGTATTTATAAATCCCGTATAAACTTTAACCTAAACATGTTTTACTATTACGAAAATTATTATTAACATTGCTGTGACACAGAGATAATTTTTATGATGGTGCAAAATAGTAGCAACAAAACCGGTTCATTTTATCGTTCCATTATTAAAGAAATAAATTTTGATATCAAACACGAAGATTTTTAAATGGAAACCAGGGCAAGTTTTTGCGAGGTCTTTGAATTATCTACACAACATATGTTTTCCAAATAGACAACAAATATGGACAAACTGATCCTATGGAAAATTTAAACATATAGATGCCTTAGAATATCTTTGTGTAACACTTGTTTATTTATAACGTATTGTAATAATACGAATCAGTATATATTTTATTATGAAATGAAACTATCGTGGTTGCTTTGAATCAAACCTCAGCTGTTCACACGAAATGCGCCAGCCAAGTATTTATGTGCCCTTGAATAATGTAATTTATGGGTATATACAAAGATGTAGCTCAGGATGCCGAAACAGAGAGGGTGTTCTTTGAGACAGTGGTGTCTGGCCAGCGCCCGAATAAGGTCGATTATATCTGTGTGCTAGCTTGAATATATTTGTTTAATGATTTGTGAATTTGTGAGTAATATGCCATACTCGTTTATGTTTTTGAAAACCCCAGGGCATGCCACGTGTTCCCGGTCTTTATGGCTGTGGTTCCTTCAAAGTGTGTCTTGTAAGTTCTACGGGGTCTTGCATGCGCTTTGATTGACACATACTGGGTGGTGTTGAGTAGGTGGCATAATCTTATAATAGTGAGACTCACACACCCGGTAGTTGGGATGCTTACTAGTTGGCGTCCGGGGGAGCCTCGACTCATTTCAGGTGACACTAGCTAGTTGTTGAAGAAAGAATGATAGATATTTACTAATTGATATAATGGAGACGTATGGAAGGATATACCTTGAATCCTAAGGTTAGGGGGAGTGAAACCCCCCGGTGAGTTACCTATTTATTTGTTTTTATTGACAGAACAGTAATTTTGTTATTTGTTTCATATACCCTCTTAATTTCTGACGAATGATCCGGCTGTTGTCGAGATAACTGCTTTGTGATGACCCATGTATAAAAGGTAACAATACCAACAATAACATCTATTTTACATTTGTTTACATCCAGTCATTGTGTTATTACAATTAACCATTACGTTTATAAATATTTACCACCAAACGAGATCGAGATTCAAAACAATACAGATGATATCCGACGAATCTAAAACGACTGGGGTCTTTGATGTGTTAAATGAATTTCCTCACATCCCGGGATGAGATATTATGTATTCACATCCCGAGAACTGCTGCGGGTCTGACGGCTGACGTTAAACTGGTGCTAGGCACTAAGGTTTAATGATTAAAATTAGCCGATACAAGGCAAGTCAATCATGCTGTCAAACTGATGTATTACAAGCCACAGACCGGGGATGTACTATTCACGAGAGCATCTCGTAACGATTACCGGCCGTAGATTAGTCCAGACCCTTGTTATACGGAATGGTAGTGATTACAAAATAATGTGTTTCCGTCAAAAACATATTTTCCGACAAAATGAACCAAAATATAGCCACATGGAACTTTTTAAAAGTACTGATATCATGAGAAACAACTACTCTGCAAACTAAAGCCCCGTCCAGGATTCAATTACATATATTAGGTATACAAGGTATATGAACATAGGTCCGATTCGTTTTTGTTTAGAAGTTGCAATCATTTTAAAAACATATAATTTCATATTCCAATCAGAGTAGCCGGAAAGTATCCTGTAGAACACTCTGTATATTGATATTAGGTGATTACAGATTTTTGGAGGATGGTGATTCTCCATCCATATATTTACCATACATAAATTGATAATTTCTAACCCTTTTCAAAAAAAAAAAAAAAACAATACGCACGTCTCTGCGTAAACGGATTCATCAGTCTAAGGTCATTCAACTCTCACGCATGTTTAGGAACGACTGCACATAGTTCCAGGGCGTCCGCCGCACCAAAATCATTTTATTTTCAGTTGTAATAATGCTAAGCATGGAATGCTTAGTCCGGAAAGAAACTTTTTTATGTTCAGTAGTGACGCTTTCACGGCTTTATTAAATAAAATGTCACGTTAGCATCTGTTTCATTCTATAAATAACTATTACACATGTAAATGTGTTTAAAGTATCTGAATTTCTGGAGAACGGTGATTCTCCGTCCGTATATTTTCCATATACTGATTACTTCTTTTAAAAGAATAACACGTATGTATGCCTGTACGTAAGGACGAATCCATACCTCGAGTAAGTACATTAAATAGTGTTAAAATTAAATAAATATGTCACTAACAATGAATTCGTTCTTGTTAGTACGTTGTTGTAGTTTGTGTGCATCCTAAAATGTATGTTAGTCACGAAGGTAACATTCAGACAAGAAAGCTACAGTAGATTTGATATCAGAAATAATGAAGCAGTGCGAAATATTTAACATTAGCAATCCAACAATAGCAATTTCTGTACTGATCTGTACTGAAAAATTGTTCTTTCAAGTTAGATATTTCTGCCCAATTTCCGAGCTTTATAAGACTTAAAATATGAAAAAAATTTTAAAATTAAAAATTATCAGGTATTTTTGGAAAAAACAAGGTGTACTCATTAACAGATGCAGGTTTCCTTTTAATAAAAGTTGTCTCTAATAAAACCTAGTAAATCCAATTTGCCTTCGCAAGCTAGTAACTGAAGTCGCCACGCATTTACAGCTGCGAGATTTACAGAATGCGTAAAAAGTGACCACCACCACTTTCTTCCCTGAAAACATACTCGGTAATTGTTGACAGCTTGATCCAGAAGATCAACCCCACCCATAGAAGAATTCGAAAACAGTTTGGGCTGGGGCACATCAATCTTTTGTTTTTATGTCGTTGACCAACATTTGACTTTACCCAGTGGCTACTGTGTCAAAATTGGTGACCATGGTAACAACATTATTGTCCATCCATCTGACAAATAGAAGTGAATTACTTTTGTCATATAATTGCGTAAAAACACGATGGATTAATGGATTGAAATTCAGAATTGATATTGAAAATACCTAAAATCAAATGTTTATTTTATTTTACCCATCCTCCCATTGTACTCAAAATAGTACAATAAATATTGTTCATACTAGTTGTAAGAAAACTATGAAATAGTTTGACTAAATGTGAATGAATGGCATTAATACATACCAGAGAAATTAACTTTGGTCACAAAACAAAATATATCAACCCGAAGAGTATAAAAAAGAACGTCACAAAAAAACACTTCTTGTTACAACGTGCTTGTACAATACAGGGTGATTCACAACTTATCCAAAAATATTTGGGAATAGATGCGGCATGAGAAATGGAGTTAATAACTTAAAAAAAAAATTGTAAAATCCTTATAGTTTCCGAGAAAAAAATTATTGAAGTTATAGTACATTCAACCACTACATAGCTGGACAACTGTAGTCTCTAGCGTCATTCGCAATACGCGTGGAGAGCCATGTGACTCCTAATACTGAAATCGTTGCGGCAGTTTTTACCTGTTATCTGTGGTGTTTACATGTTTTTAGCAGTTAGTGTCAAAAATGGTTTGCGTGTATAGCAACTCAGAGTTGATGGATATCGTTTTAATTTATGGTGAAGCAAGACAACATTTGTATTATGGTGAAGCATTTGTGTTGTGGTGAAGCAAGACATCATTTGTGTTAGTTCGTAGAAAGTAAGACGGACCCAAATGTGTTTACACGTTAGTGGATAAAATTTTGAACAATTGTTGTTGTAACATCGGGTATGTCAAATGATTTTATTATTTAAAAACACAAATTAATTTTAATTAATAAAGGCAAAAGCAGTTGAATTTGCCGATATAAAATAGGTGGTATAAAATTATATTTACATATTTCTTTCTTTGCGAAAGTTTTTGTCCGTTTTTATCACACCGCCATGCCGGTCGCATTGTGCGAGGTCAGGTTTTACAGTGGACCAGTTTCCAGTGCCGTGCAGAACTGTATTT